GGAGGCCAAGGTGGGTGGATCGCCTGAGGTCAGGAGTTCAAGGTCAGGTGGATCGCTTGAGCCCAAGAGTTCAAGACCAGACTGGGGAACATGGCAAAATCCCATCTCTACTAAAACTACAAAAAACTCAGCAGGGCCTGGTGGCACATGCCTGTAATCCCAACTACTCATGAGACTGAGGTGGGAGGATCACCTGAGCCTGGGAAGTTGAGGCTGCAGTGAGCCATGATCATGACACAGCATTTAAGCCTGGGTGACAGGAATAAGGCCCTGTCTCAAAATAAACAAATAAATAAGTTACCAAGTGGCTGGGAGCTGGAGGAGGAAATGGGAAGCGATTATTTAATGAGTACAGAATCTCTGTTTGGGATGATGAAAACAGCCTGGAAATAGATTGTGGTAGTGGTTATGCTACACTGTGTATGTACTTAATGTGACTGAATTGTACATTTATAATGGTTACAATGATACATTTTAAGTTTATTTTACCGCAATTTTTTCAAAGCTCTTCGAAGAAACTAAGCATGTGACTGACTCACAGATTATCTTAATGATCTGAGCAGAAGCCAAAAATAGAGGCGAGATTATCTAAAGAAAATACCTGGAAGAGCCTCTTGTCTAATGCAGAGAAATTCCCAAGACATACACAGAGTACTCACAAGTTGTTGAGCATGTTATATCAGCAAAAATACTGCCATTTTAGCCTAAAAGGGACAGAAAGAGGACAAAAATGAAGGCTATCAATCTCCTAAAATTCTATAGGGAGGAGACAGGCTGATGAAGCTAGTGAGCTGCAAAAGGCACTGTCTTATCAAAAAGGAAAGCTGGCTTCGAAGACAGGGCCTTGAACCAGAGGGCAGAGCCACAAATGCAGAGGTTATTCCCAAGCTTTGAAAGCAGTTGGATTTTTTTTTTTTTTTTAAACAGAGTCTTGCTCTGTTGCCCAGGCTGGCTGGAGTACAGTGGCACAGTCTCAGCTCACTGCGATTTCTGCTGCTAAGGTTCAAGTGATTCTCCTGCCTCAGCCTCCCGAGTAGCTGGGATTACAGGCACCCACCACCACACCCAGCTAATTGTTGTAATCTTAGTAGAGACAGGGTTTCACCACGTCAGGCAGGCTGGTCTCAAACTCCTGACCTCGGGTGATCCACCCACCTCAGCCTCCCAAAGTGCCGGAATTACAGGCGTAAACCACCGTGCCTGGCCCATTTTCTCCTTTTTTAAAATGGGAAAGTTTATAACTGTTATTTTATGCCCACCCACCATTGTATTTTGGGAGTGGGCAACTTGTTTCTCGAGTTTCACACATTCACAGATAAAAAATAATTGTACCCAAGGATGAATTATTCTCAGAGTCTCTGCGATGCCCAATTTAAATCATGAGATTTGGGATTTTTGATCTGATGGAACTGAAGTGAGGTTTTTTTGCTTTGAGCTGATGCTGTAATGAGATGAGATTTTTGGATGAGGTGAATGTGTTTTGCATGTGGGATGGACATAAATCTTTGGAGTACAGAGAAGGCAGACCACAGTAGGCAGAATAGTAGCTTCCTAAAGATGTTCACATCCTATCCCTGGAATATCTGGGAATGTGTTATTACATGGCAAAGAGGAACTGTGGTTGTAGATAAAATTAAAGTTGCTAAAAGCTGACCTGGATCTTATATTTTTTGAGGTCTCACTATGTTGCCAGGTCTGGTCTCAAACTCCTAGGTTCAACCAGCCCTCCTGCCTTGGCCTTGCAAAGTGCCAGGATTACAGGTATGAGCACCACACCCAGTTGAGCAACCTTCAAAAGGCGAGATTGCCTTGGATTATCCCAGTGGGCCCAATGCAATCACAAGAATCCTTGAAAGTGAAAAAGGGGGCCGGGCACAGTGGCTCAGTGGATCCAAGGATGGATCATCTGAGGTCGGGAGTTTGAAACCAACCTGACCAACATGGTGAAACCCCATCTCTACTAAAAATACAAAACTGGCCAGGTGTGGTGGTGTGTGCCTATACTCCCAGCTACTTGGGAGGCTGAGGCAGGAGAATCACTTAAAGCCAGGGGGCGAGGGTTGCAGTGAGCTGAGATCATGCCATTGCACTCCAGCCTGGGCAACAGGACTGAAACCTCATCAAGAAATAAAGGGGCGGGGGGAGAGAGAGAGAGAGAGAGAGAAAGAAAGAAAGAAAGAAAGAGAGAGAGAGGAGAGAAAGAAAGGAAGGAGCAGGGAGGAGGGAAGGAAGGGAAGGAAGGAAGGGAGAGAGGGAGGGAAGAAGGGAGGGAGGGAGGGAGGAACAGAGAGAGAGAGAGAAGAGGAGCCCATAGTGATGTGATACGAGAACTCAACCAACAATTACTGGTTTTGAAGATGGAGTGACTTTCTTTGATGGATGAAATGCTAGCACATGTGCAAGCAGAGATCTTATGTGGTTTAACATAACTCATGCTCCAGTGGTTCTTCTTGAAAAAAGTCCATCTCTGGTGGCCCCAGAAAATAGGGAGCACCCCTGAGCCTAACCCACAGTCTGGAACCAGGACCAGCTGACCTGCAACCTGAAGCAGAACCACCCAACCAAACCCAGTCTAGTTCAGCCAAAGTACAATTGTCCTGCAGACCCTGAGTGTAACCATAAAACCCTGCTGGGGGCGGTGGCTCATGCCTGTAATCCCAGCACTTTGGGAGGCCGAGGTGCGTGGATCACCTGAGGTCAGGAATTTGAGACCAGCCTGACCAACATGGAGAAACCCCATCTCTACTAAAAATACAAAATTAGCCGGGTGTGGTGGTGAATGTCTGTAATCCCAGCTACTTGGGAGGCTGAGGCAGGAGAATCTGGGCAACAAGAGCAGAACTCCATCTCAAAAAAAAAAAAGAAGAAGAAATTTCTTTTGAAAGGCCATTGAGTTTTGTAGTGGTTTGTTATGCAGCATTATTATTGAGGATGAAAGAGAGAATTCCTCACAAGGCATGCTGTCGTGAGTACCTCTTTTACTAATTGAAACAGTCCCAGCCAGGTGAGGTGGCTCACACCTGTAATCCTAGCACTTTGGGAGGCCGTGGCAGGTGGCTCACCTGAGATCAGGAGTTTGAGACCAGCCTGACCAACATAGTGAAACCCTGTCTCTAGTAAAAATACAAAAATTAGCCAGGTGTGGTGGCGGGTGCCTGTAATCCCAGCTACTCAGGAGGCTGAGGCAGGAGAATTGCTTGAACCTGAGGCACGGACGTTGCAGGGAACTGAGATCTCATCACTACACTCCAGCTACCAGGCCCAGTTAGTTTTTTGTATTTTTAGTGGAGACTGAGCTGCTTTTCTCCATGTTGGCCAGGCTGGTCTCAAACTCCCAACCTCACATGATCTGCCTGCCTCAGCCTCCCAAAGTGTTGGGATTACAGGTGTGAGCCACTGCACCTGGACATCTTTTCTTTGTTTCATTTTTGAGATGGAGTCTCACTCTGTCACCCAGGGGGGAGTGCAGTGGCATGATCTCAGCTCTGCAACCTCTGCTTCCCAGGCTCAAGCGACTATCCTGCTTCAGCCTCCTGAGTAGCTGGGATTCCAGGTGCCTGCCGCCATGCCCAGCTAATTTTTATATTTTTAGTAGAGACAGGCTTTTGCCATGTTGGCCAGGATGGTCTTGAACTCCTGACCTCAAGTGACCCACCCCCTTGGCCTCCCAAAGTGCTGGGATTACAGGTGTGAGCCACTGTGCCCAGCCCAATCTTAAGACACTGGCTGAAAATTCTGGGACACAGCCAGTCTCTCTCCAGCAGGACATGTACGAGGACTTGGACAACCCTGGGAGATGCTGGCACATTGGGGCCACAAGCAGTACTGACCTTAAGAAAAGGGCAACATCTTGGAAAACAAAGTAGATAAATGAAACCAAGTCCTTGGTGCTGTCACATGATTTCTGGATAAAGCCCTCACCTAAGCTATTTACTTACCTGAGCCTTTCATTGTTCAGGACGATTTGAGTTGGTGGTTTTGTTACCTGTAACCAAAAGTCTCCTAACTCAAAGTGGATCTGTGAATGACCAGAGTCTCTTGGGAGTTGTAGCAAGCTAGGTCCCCAGAGAAGCCACCTCTGAGATTGAGTGTAGGGTATACAGCATTTATTAATGAGTGCTCTTGAAATTGACAACTGAGGAAGACAGAGGTATGCAGGACTGGGCACAGGGAGAAGTCCAGCTGCAATGTAGGCCCAAGGATAGCGGCAGCTGAGCCTACAGGAAGTTTTGGAGCCAGAATAGCCCTTCCGAGTTGTTCCAAGCACTGAGGCCCAGCAAGTTCCCAGGCGTATTAAACTCAAGAAGTCTGTCGGCCCTGACAATGCCCTCAACAGGTCTGGGCACAGACTGGAGAGAAGCTGGGCTCCCACTGCAGCAGGAGGGAGTAGCCCAGAGCCACAGAGCCACGGAGACTCGGGCAGGGGTTGCTCCAGCACTTCTTCTGGAGAACTTTCGAGCCCCAGACGCAGTCAACACAGTTGTCCGCCCCTTATCTTAAGACAAAGTCTGTTCCCACCACATCTTCTGCAAGGCCCAGCTGGGGACTCCAAGATACTCACAAAAAAGCAAACGTAAATCCAGCTTTATTGGTAAAAAGGAATAGCAGATTTAATTGGAAATTCCCAACTGGTCCTGCAGCACCAACCAGAAGGAAGGAAGAAGAGAGGAAAAAACTACAGGAAGGAAAGAAAGAAGGGAGAGAGGGAGAGGGGGAGGGAATGAGGAAGAAATGAAAGGAGGGAGGGAAGGAGGGAAGGAAAGAGGGAGGGAGGGAAGGAAGGAAGGAGGGAGGGAGGGAAGGAGGGAGGGAGGGAAGGAGGGAAGGAGGGAGGGAGGGAGGGAAGGAAAGAGGGAGGGAGGGAAGGAAGGAAGGAGGGAAGGAGGAAGGAAGGAAAGGAAGGAGGGAAGGAGGGAGGGAAGGAGGGATGGAGGGAGGGAGGGACTGTAGATCAGGGTCTGGATGGAGACCTGGTTCTGTCAGTAAATGATCCAAGGCACCAGGTGCTGGAAAGAGAGCAGGAGGGCAGGGGAGGGGAGGGGAGGCCCATGGCACTGCCATCTAGAAGGGTAATGGCTCTTCCGCAGGAATGTTGAGGATGACGTCCATGTCTGGGGTGCACCTGATGGGAGGCAGCACAGAGGGGAGTGAGAGGCTACCAGGGGTGTCAGAGCTGGGGGTGTGGAAGCACCCGCTCAGGGAAGTCTTGCTCTTTAGAACTCTGCTACTTAGTTGGGTTGGGGGCAATCTCAAAACACAATCTGTATTTTGGGATTGCCCCACTCAAAGCCCAACTGTGCATACACAAGCATGCACACACACACATCAAAAATGGAAAAGAGGCCGGGCGTGGTGGCTCACGCCTGTAATCCCAGCACTTTGGGAGGCCGAGGCGGGTAGATCACGAGGTCAAGAGATCGAGACCATCCTGGTCAACATGGTGAAACCCCGTCTCTACTAAAAATACAAAAAATCAGCTGGGCATGGTGGCGCGTGCCTGTAATCCCAGCTACTCAGGAGGCTGAGGCAGGAGAATTGCCTGAACCCAGGAGGCGGAGGTTGCGGTGAGCCGAGATCGCGCCATTGCACTCCAGCCTGGGTAACAAGAGCGAAACTCTGTCTCAAAAAAAAAAAAAAAAAGGAAAAGAAACTAGTTTGGCAGGATGAATGTTCCCCTGACAAGTCTGAGGTCAAGAGGGAGCAGGAACTCAGCTCTGAAATGCTGAGGCCCCTCAAGACTATCGCTGTCTTTGGAGTGAGGATGGCTGGTTTGTAACTTGACGCTGTGTCACCTTGAACAAGCTATTTCTACTCTCCCAGCCTCATTCCTTCAGTAGGCACTTAAGTGAAAACCACTCATTAAGTGCTAGACCCCAGGTAAGCCTCAGTTTCTTTATCTGTCAAATGGGTTTAACATTCTAACCTCAGTCATTGGCGGGAAGATTCAATGAGACCATGCTAGCAGGTAGTAAGTGCTCAGTAAATGACAGGCATTATTATTTCCATGAAACTAGCAAAAGAGATGGATTCCCCAGCACAAACATTGAAGAGGCTGAAGGATTATATTCTCTTTTCACTCTCTTCCAAGGAGACGATCCTCTCTCGTGGTTTCAATAATATACTGACACCCATGAAGTATTTAGGCATGAAATGTCAGGATACTTGCAATTTACAATACTATTGGCCAAAAAAATAAAAAATAAATGAACATGAAACCAATACAGAAAAAAAAAACAATTTCTAAATATAGATGGGCAACTAGCTATTCACTATACCGTTCTACTTTTCTTTATATTTGAAATTTTTCATAATAATAGTTTTGAAAAAAATTCATCTCTATGCTGGCAACACCCAAATTTCTTCTTCCAGCCAGTATCTGTCCTCTGAGGCCCACACTCACCTTGTCAACTGCCCACCCAATGACTCCACCTTAGTACCTCACAGAAACCAAACTTACTGTCCAAATCAACTGTATTTTTTTTTTTTTTTTTTTTGAGACATGGTCTCACTCTGTCGCCCAGGCTGGAATGCAGTGATACGATCACGGCTCAAGACTTCTGGGATTTCATGTTCATTTTTTTTTTTTTTTGACAAATAGTATCGTAAATTGCAAGTATCCTGACACAGTCACGTGCCACCACACCTGGCTAATTTTTTAATTTTTTGTAGAGATGGAGGTCTCACTATGTTGTCTCCCTGGTCTCAAACTCCCAACCCCAAGCTATCCTTCTTCCTCAGCCTCCTAAAGCACTAGGATTACAGGTGTGAGCCACCATGCCTGCCTCCAAGTGAACTTTTGACTATGCCTACATACTCATCCTTCACCCTATCCCCGCCTTCCCAATCTCTGCATTTGGCACCACCACCCCCCCTCTGCAAAAGTCAGGAACCCAGGGGTTATTCTTGACCCCTCCCTTTCCTGTACTTCCAAAGTCGTACAAGTCCTTCTTATCTTCCTAAATATTTCTCTAACCCATCTACTTTTCCCATCTCTTATGCCACATACTTGGCCAGGCCACTCCCACGTTCCCCTGGACAACTGCCCTCACACCCACTGGACTTCCAGCTGCCACTGACTCCTTGCCAATCTCATGCCCATGCTCTTTTCTTTTAGAAAGAGTCTTGCTCTATCACGTAGGCTGGAGTGCAGTGGCACGATCTTGGCTCACTGCAACCTCTGCCTCTTGGGCTCAAACAATCCTCCTGCCTCAGCCTTCCGAGTAGCTGGGACTACAGGCACACACCAACATGCCTGGCTAATTTTTGTATTTTTTGTAGAGATGCCGTTTCACCATGTTGCCCAAGCTGGTTTCGAACTCCTGGGCTCAAATATTCCTCCTGCCTTGGGATACCAAAATGCTGGGATTACAGGCATGAGCCACCACATCCAGCCCACCATGGTCTTTTCAAACTGGCTTTATTTGAATACAAATCTGATCATGTCACCATGTGGCTTAAGATCCTTTGCTTCTGGGATCAGGCAGAAAATCCTGGCCTATGGGGCACTGCATGGAGTTCCCTAGGAGCCGATTTGCCCTGCTCCCTGCCTGCCACTCTCCCTGTCACTCTGCATTCCAACCACACTGGCCTCACTCAGCTCCACGTCAATTAGAAAAGCAGAATCAGGGCCAAGCACAGTGGCCTACACCTGTTATCCCAGCACTTTGAGAGGCTGAAGTTGGAGAATCATCTGGGGTCAGGAGTTCAAGACCAGCCTGATCAACATGGAGAAACCTTGTCTCTACTAAAAATACAGTATAAGCCAAGCGTGGTAGCGCATGCCTGTAATCCCATGACTCAGGAGGCTGAGGCAGGAGAATCACTTGAACCTGGGAGGTGGAGATTTCGGTGAGCTGAGATTGCGCCATTGCACTCCAGCCTGGGCAACAAGAGCGCAACTTCGTGTCAAAAAAAGAAACCACACTGGGCATGGTAGCTCACACCTGCAATCCCAGCATTTTGGGAGGCCGAGGCAAATGGCTCACTTGAGGTCAGGAGTTCAAGACCAGCCTAGCCAACTTGACAAAACCCTGTCTTTACTAAAAATATAAAAATTAGCCAGGCATGGTGGCACACACCTGTAGTCCCAGCTACTCAGGAGGCTGAGACAGGAGAATCGCTTCAACCCAGGAGGCAGAGGTTGCAGTGGGCTGAGATGGTGCCACTGCACTCCAGCCTGGGTGACAGAGCAAGACTTTGTCTCAACAACAACAACAAAAATGCAGAATCATGAGCCCCACTCAGACCTATGACTTGGAATCTGCTTTTTAACGAGATCTCCCTGTGTTTCCTAGGCATGTTCCAGTGGGAGGGGCTCTGCTGAACAGCGTGCCATTTCTACTTTTTAGGAGGGAAAAACTGCTTCCTTGCTCCTGGTGTTCCCTTCTACGTGGAAGGGCATCCATGAGTGTATTGCTTCTGGCCTCTCTCTGCCCCTTTATATTCTGCTCTTGGAAAGGGGGTATGACCACTGGCATGTGAGTGTGAGGAGCGGAAGGGGACGTAAGGAGCACAGTCCCTTCCTCTCTTAGCAACGAGCAACCCGAAAGGACTCCACTTTTCTCTGCCCCAAGGCCTGGCTCCACATGAGTCCAGTTCCACCACAATTGGGCGGCTCAATCTGCCTAATTCTGGGTTCACTATTCAGAGGCCAACATGCCTAGAAATGTAAGCCACAGGCCGTAAGATCAGCTTTACCAGAATAAAGGTGATCACCCGGTCCACATGCACCTTACCCCTTTCAGTCTCATTCACTGTGTTCAGAGCTCAGGTAAAGACAACAGGTGACTAATTAGTACATTCCACAGAGACCCTCGCACCACCCCCTAGAATTGCTCTTCCTTCAGCTCCCCCAATAGTCCCCTTCACCTAGTGAATTTCTATGCATCCTTCAGGGCTCAGTTCAAATGTCACATCCTCAGGAAAACCTTCCTTGACTGCCCAGCCTCGCTGTCCTAAGAGTCACGTTCACAGTGGCATGCATTCTACTCAGTAGCTCCAGGCTCCATTGCAACTCCACATTTATTTGTGGTTCATTATCACCTCATGTCCAGTTCCCTCTTTGGTTCCATGAGGGCAGGGTAAGGACTGTTTTCATTCACATGGTGCCTGGCATTCAGAGGCACTTCATAAATCCAATAGTATTTTGCTGTTGTTGTTGCTGTTTGTTTTCGTATTTGTTTGAGACAGAGTCTTGTTCTGTCACCAGGCTGGAGGGCAGTGGCGCAATCTCAGCTCACTGCAACCTCCGCCTCCCAGGTTCAGGCAATTCTCTTGCCTCAGCCTCCCGAGTAGCTGGGACTACAGGCGTGTGCCACCACACCCGGCTAATTTTTTGTATTTTAGTAGAGATGGGGTTTCACCATATTGGCCAGGATGGTCTCAATCTCCTGACCTCATGACCCGCCCTCCTCGGCCTCCCAAAGTGCTGGAATTACAGGTGTGAGCCACCATGCCCAGCTATTGTTGTTTTTAGAAACAGAAGAAAAGGAAGAGACAGCTATAGGACAGGAGAGGAGAAGGAAGGAAAAGGATAGGAGGGAGAGACAGACAGAGATGAAGACGAAAAATTAAAAAAATTTGCAAATGCTAGGCTCTGCCATGCACGGTCCTGTGGTGTCATCATGGAGAGGCAAGCCTGGGTGACCCCAACCCAACCACAGAGGGCTTGCTCCAAGGGAGGGCAGGCAAAGAATTGGTTTGGGGAGGAAATCCTTCCCCTGGGGCCCAGAAACCTGTCAAGTGTAGAGGACATCCTTCTCTCCTTGTGGGGTGTCTTCCAGGCTATTCTTCCCTGAAGCCAACTGCCCCACTCAACTCTGCCTTCCTCAAAAAGGCAGAAGTGGAAGGCTGTACCCATTTGGCTGACACATGGAATCTGTGAACTGGAAGGGTCCTCAGGGATTACATAACCCAACCTGCCATGTACAGATGGGAATCAGAGGCCTCTGCAGAGATGGGAAAGGTCACATCTGCCCCTGGTCAGTGGCAGATCTATGGTGGAAACCCAGGGATTCCCATACAGGGGTTCTGCCATCCATATCAGGATGCCTTCCCCATACAGGGGTTCTGCCATCCACACCAGGCTGCCTTCCCCAAGAACAGAGAGCCTCTGTGGGCCCAGAGTGTGGCTGGTCTACAAGGCAGTGGCAAAACGATCACATACTTGGGTCTCCGAAGCAGAACATCCTCAAATATGACCTCTCGGGGTTCCCGGATCTGGGCCTGGAGCTCTTCTACCTCGGCCCTTAATACAGGCATATTCTCCTCAAACTGGCCAATAAACTGAGAGGAAAGGCAGAGCAGGGCAGAAGTGAGAAGGCAAATGGCCCCCAACCAAAGAGAGAAAGGCCAAAATGAACAAGGAGCAAAGCTATCTGGGAAAATGGTATGGGCTCTGCCGCCGGACTTGCTGAACTCCAGAGAGGGGACCTCCCCATGCAGGGTAGGGCTGACTCCCAAGTTAGTGACACTATTCATCGGTGCTGAAACAGTTGAAGGGTCACAGAGAATGGAGACAGGTTACAAAGTGGTTGGGGAGCGCTCCATCATGGGAATCAGTGGGGCTGGCAGAGATGGTGAAGGGCATGCACACTAAAAACTGGGGAAGGGGAAAGATAATGAAAATTAATTCAAGAAGGCAGTGATGGTGAAGTTCATTAACACTGGTAATGGGTGGTGGGCAGTGACAAGAATCAAGGGGTAAAGATGCATGGTGGTTAATGACTGAATGCATGATGCTTGATGACAGTGCAAACGGATCAATGCCAGTGATGCTGGCTAATGAGATAAGGCTGAGGTCGGTGCCCATCGCCTCCCCAGATGAATGACAAGTGACAGTAATGGCACTGGCAAGGAGACAGGCCCACACCAGTGTCAGAGACCTCCTAAGCACCAGATCAGGAAAGGCCTGGCTCACTCCCACAGGCTGTGGGGACTGCCCACCCACTGCTCCCCTGCAGGGACCACCACCTTCCTTGCCCACGCACTTTTCTGAACCTGTGAATGCATTTCAGCGAGGCCTGGCTTTCCCAAACCATCTGTAGAAGAGCCTTCTCATGAGGACGCTGGGTTTTCTATGAAGAAAGAAGAGGTCTGGCCCCCAGGTGCCTCTTCCTGGGCAGCAGAACATGGTAGAGACTGATGGGGCTCCAGTGGGCATGGAGGCAGAGGATGCGGAAGGGGCGGGGCAGGGGTGGGACCTGGATCCCCCATCCCCCACAGCAACTGGCTACTCACTGCCACCAGAGAACTCAGAACTTTTTTCTCCTCCTTCTGAATCTTGTCGGACAAGGACTTCAGGACCTTTCTGTGCATCTCACTGAGGTCATCCAGCTCATCCTGGGAGCCAGCAGAAGGGTGTTGGCCACCAGCCCTGCCACCCACACGGTCCCGTGAGGCAGGGGCAGGGGCTCCCCTACCTGCTGGCTGTCCTTAACCTCCTGCAGCTGGCGTTCAAGGGTGGCGATCTGGACAGACTTGATGGAATACTCATGGTCCATGTAAGTGCTCAGGAATTTCACATCCTCCTGGGTCTTGTCGATCTTGGCATTCAGCTGCTCCACCTGCTGCTCCAGATCTGGGGAGGGGTTAGGGAGGTCAGCAGGGACAGAAGGCAAGACTTTCCCTCAAGGACCCTTCCCAGGAGGCAAGGTCTCCTTGGCCAATAAATTGGAGTCTGGGTTAAGGCGACCTCACACAGAGCTGGGAGGTGGTTAAAAATTAAGGCTCTAGAGCGTTTTGCACCGCTGCAGGAGAAGAGGCAATGCTGGGTAGGGAAAAGAAAGGAAACTGATCTCTAGACCAGTCCCCACTCTGCTACTGACTTGCTGTGTGGCCCTCACCAAGACTGTCCCTCTCTGGACTTCAGTCTCCCCAGAGACACACTCAAGGAAGTGAGACCAGGGAGATGGGGTGACAGGGGTTCCCAAGACACAACCCACAGCAGGATTAAGACAAAGTCTATCCTCTCTTCCTCCAGAGAGAGATCCCCAGTGTCTGGGGTTGCCTAATCCACCGCCCCTCCACTCAGCAGATGTGTAGCCTGCTCAGGGAAAAGGAACCACAGGCCAGACAGGATGGAAGCCAAGAGTCCTGGATTCTAGCCCAGCCACTGACTCCCAGAAGAACCTTGGCAGGAAACGGAGCCAGGCTAGGACTGGATTATGGCTCCTAGCTATATGACCTTCCACAAACCACTTCACCTCTCTTAGCCTCGGCTTCCTCACCTGTAAAATGGGAGGACAGTTCCCTGCTTCCAGGTAGTTCTGACTGAGTGTGTGCCTGTAACAGTGCAGATACATGGGGCCTGGAAACAGCTAAGTGCTGAGTAAGTAGGCTATTTGCTCTGTATCTTAGCCTTCTCATCTGCCTAGAAGGGAGACGACAGGCCTGAGGGTTTCTGAATGGCATACAAGGTGAATGCCCTGCTGCTGACCTCCCCAAGGGGCCGGGGGAGAGTCAAGGGGTTCACCCAGGGATTCTTTCTCTTTCTTTTTCTCTTTCTTTCTCTCTCTTTCTCTCTCTCTCCTCTCCCTCCTCTCTCTCTCCTCTCTCTCCTCTTCTCTCTCTCTCTCTCTCTTTCTTTTTGAGACGGAGTTTTGCTCTTGTTGCCCAGACTGGAGTGCAACGGCGAGATCTTGGCTTACCGCAACCTCCCCCTCAAGGGTTCAAGCAATTCTCCTGGCTCAGTCTCCTGAGTAGCTGGAATTACAGGTGTGCACCACCATGCCTGGCTAATTTTGTATTTTTAGTAGAGATGAGGTTTATCCCTGTTGGTCAGGCTAGTCTCAAACTCCTGACCTCAGGTAATCCACCCGCCTCAGCCTCCCAGAATGCTGGGATTACAGGCATGAGCGACCACACCCCACAGACCAGGGATTCTTACAGCTCGTCTTCCATTTCTTCTTTTCCTCCCACTCCTGGAGCTCAGACTTCAATTGCTGCAGCCTCTTCTTGTTTAAGTACTCCAAGATGTCGATGACGGTCTGTGGGAGGAGTGGGGTCCACTCACCCACAGGCTCTGCTGGCTCAGAGGAGTCCCCAATCCCAACCCCACTCCCAGAATCCTGACCAGAGGCCACTGGGGATAATAACAGTGTCCACCCATAGGGTTGTTGTAAGGACTACATAAATACATACAGATCACCTGCTATTACACGTACAGGTGTTTGCAAACGCTGGTGGTGGTGGCAGCTACCTCTGGTGCACGGGTACAATATGTGCCAGGTAAACCCCCTCTGGGACGGGTGCTACATTTCACAGAGCTCAGGGAGGCAAAGTTAACTCAGAGCCTCTTGGCCCGTGAGTGCTGGCGCGTTGGGACAAAACTCCCACCACTGTCTGCTTGCAAAGCCCAGGCGAGGGGAGTGAAGGGTGAAGAGATGCGTCTTCCAGTTGCTGGAAGCAGCATGTGCAATTGGCGGGGAAAGGCAGGAGAGGGCGCCCGAGTGAGCGGAGGGAGGGAAGGCGGGCGGGCACTGCCGGCGCAGAGGGCAGACGCGGGTCTCACCGTCAGGATGTCCTGCTGTTGCAGCATGGCCCGCACATTCAGGGCCGTGCGGTTCTCCATGTCCTGGATGCTCTCGATCAGCTCCTCGTTGAACTTGGCGAGGAAGTTCTCATGGCTTTGGAGCTCTCGCAGAGAGGTCTGACGGTTCCTGAGCATCGTCTGCGGGCGGAGGGAAGAAGAGAGAGGCGGCGCTGCGCCGGGCTAGGCCGGAGCCCGCGAGAGCCCGTGGACCCCCCGCCCCAACCCTGCCACTCCCGCCCCCTTGCGGCCTCCGCTGGTAAATGCGGCCCGAGCTGGGCGGCGGTTCCCCATTGTCTGCGCTGCCGGGGAGCTCGGAGACGCTGGTCCGTTCGGAAACGCACGTGTACCCATCATTTCACATCCCTGAGATGCAGGTGCATCTTCTAATTCGTGGCGTGTAATCATCTAATCAACAAATGTATTATTAGTGGGTAAAGATGTGTCTTAATATCAATGGCTTCTCATAATCAATGAAATACAGAAATAATAATAAGGGCCGGGCGCGGTGGCTCAAGCATGTAATCCCACCACTTTGAGAGGCCTAGGTGGGTGGATCACGAGGTCAGGAGTTCGAGACCAGCCTGGCCAACATGGCAAAAGCCCGCCTCTACTAAAAATACAAAAAATAGCCGGACATGGTGGCGCATCCTTGTAATCCCAGCTACTGGGGAGGCTGAGGCAGGAGAATCACCTGAACCCGGGAGGTGGAGGTTGCAGTGATCTGAAATCGCACCGCTACACTCCAGCCTAGGTGATAGAGCAAGATTCTGTCCCAATAATAATAATTAATAATAATAATAATAAATGCCCCAGGAAGGTAAGAAGGTGTCAGAGCTACCACCATGTCTGGAAGAGAAGCAGGGAGGCAAAGTGGATGATGGTAAACGTCAGCATTTCCTGGCAGGCCGTGGGGCTAATGAGTACTCTCATTTCATACAACAGCCCCAGTGGAACAAGGAGGGTATAAGGGTTAAGTGACTCCCCTAACGTTACACCCAGCAGATGCATAAAACCTACAGTAATAATAACAATAGCAATTGTTGAGGGCCCTCTACATGACAGGCCAGGTGCCGTGCCTTGCTCCGCAGGTGGCACATGGTATCGGTTCACCCTCCAGCAGCCCTATGTTTACTAACTTTATTTTGCTGATAAGTGGAGGCTCAGAGTGTTTAATGACTTGCCCAGTGTCACACAGTCAAGAAGTGGCAGGGCTGGAACTGGAAAGCCAGACTTCTGAGCCCCAATGCCTTTCCACTATACTAAAACAAGAACTGAGTAGGCTTAAAACTGCAAGGCATGGCTGAACCACGTAGTGACTAAGAGTTGGATGTTAAGCCTAGACGCACCTTGGTTCAAATCCCAGCTCAGCCACTTACCATCTAAGAGAGTCTAAGAGAACCGAGGCAAGTTAACGTCTCAGAGCCTCCTTGTACTCATTCTAAAGGGAACTAATACCTGTTTTACAGAGCTGCCGTGAAATATAAATGAGATTGGACAGGTGCAGTGGCTCATGCCCATGATCCCAATGCTTTAGGAGGCCCAGGTGGAAGGATCACTCAAGGTCAGGAGTTGAAGACAAGCCTGGGCAACATAGTGACACCTCATCTCTGCAAAAAGTGGACAAAATTAGCTGGGCATGGTGGTGTATGCCTACAGTTCTAGCTACTCAGGAGGCTGAGGTGGGAGGATTGCTTGAGCCCAGAAGAGGGAAGCTGCAGTGAGTTGAGATTGTGCCACCACACTCCAGCCTGGGTCTTTGAGCAAGACCTTGCCTCAAAAAGTAAGTAAGTAAATAAATAAAATTTTAAAAAATTAACAGGTTATCTGGGCATGGGGATGTGCACCTACAGTCCCAGCTACTTGGGAGGCTGAGGCAGGAGGATCTCTTGAGCCCAGGAGTTTACGGCTGCAGTGAGCTATGATTGTGCCATTACACTTCAGCCTGGGTGACATAGCAAGACCCTGTCTCTAAAAAACAAAGACTAAATAAATAAATAAATGAGATAAAATTCACAATCAAGCCTCTTAGTGAGAGTGCACTCATGTGTACTTGGTGAACAATAGCTGATACTATTGTTTCTGGCTCTAACCCTCTAACCCTGCCATAAATATTTGCTCTTTCATTTGTTCCTGTTCTTCCTCATTTCTCCGTCCTTTCCTAAAACTACCCCTTCCTAGCCCTCAGGTCCTTGATTTCTCATATAACAGTAATCACGTTGATATATTGAGTGCTTCCTATGTGGCTGATACCGTGCTAAGCCCTTCACACACACTGCAGCACATCAGCACATCACCCTCACAGCAACCCCAAGAGACAGGCACTATTATTAGGCCAACTTTATAAAAGTGGACACCAGTCAGCCATGGTGGTTCTCACCTGTAATCCCAGCACTTTAGAAGGGCAAGGAGGAAGGACTGCTTGAGCCCAGGAGTTTGAGACCAGCCTGTGCAACATAAGGAGATCCCATCTCTACAAAAATTATCTGGGCATGGTAGTGCATGCCCATAGTCCCAGCTACTCAGAGAGGCTGAGGTGGAAGGATCACTTGGGCTCGGGAGGTCCAGGCTCCAGTGAGCCATGATCATGCCACTGCCCTCCAGCCTGGATGAACCAGCCAGATCCTATCTCAGTCAATCAATGCGTACACCAAGGATTAAATTCAGTAGCTTTTCCAAGGTCACACATAGCAGAGCTGTCATCCTTAAAGTCGGGGCTCCAAGCCACTCCACTATCTTGTCTCCATATCTCCAGAAGAGATACCCAGAAGTATCTTGTGAAATATGCTATTCTCCAAGTCATGGGACCACTCAACCAGCACCACCTGGGTTTCAGCTCAAATGTCACCCACTTTAGTAGCCTTTCCTTAGCACCCTAACTAAAACAATTACTGCCACACTCCCTCCTCCATGCCTCTAGCTCCCTAACCTTATTCTTAGGCTTTTTTTAAAAAAAGAGTTTTGATCTTGTTGTCTAGGCTGGAGTACAATGGCGCAATCTCGGCTCACTGCAACCTCTACCTCCTGGGTTCAAGCAATTCTCCTGTCTCAGCCTCCCGAGTAGCTGGGATTACAGGTTCGTGCCGCCACGTCTGCCTAATTTTGTACTTTTAGTAGAGATGGGGTTTCTCCATGTTGGTCAGGCTGGTCTCAAACTCCTGACCTCAGGTGATCTGCACACCTCGGCCTCCCAAAGTGCTGGGATTACAGGCGTGAGCCACTGCGCCCAGCCCATCACTTTAAAACTCTTTCTTTTATGAATTGTCAGTCTCCCCCATCCAATAGAATTCGAGTTCCTTAAGGTCAGAGGCCACATCACTGGTGAAGCCTCACACTCGGAACAGAACCTGGCACATGATAGGTGCTCCATCAATATCTGTTGACTCACTGAATGAAGATTATAAGAGACAGTATTAAGAACTGGACTGGTTAGGAGCACACGTTTTAAAGCCACATTGTTCAGGTTCAGCTTCTACATCAATCAAAAACACACAAACCCCTCTAAAGTTAGGGTAAAAATAACAGAAATACGAGTTCCTCCTTTAAGAATACTGGGCCACCTCTAAACCATTTTGCAAGAGAAAAGGTTAAAGCGGGAAAAAAGGTTTCAAAGCAAATTCTATTTTCACTTGTTCTTTATATAGTAGTCATTGTTCATTGAGCTATTAAAAACTTTGTTGAAGAATTATTCGATAGTATTTTGTAGTCTTTATAATACTTAGTATTTTACTTTCTGCTATGTATGCTAAAGACTCGTCTTCCTTTAGGTATTTCAAATACTTTGAAACATTGTTCAGATAATTACAGAAGCCACAAAACAATGTATGGTGAGGAAATTAATTACCTATAATTGTTACCAATTGATGTGAAAATTTTAATTGTCAGTTTCTAAGCCTTGCTTCAAAGCACACTGTATGAAAGTTTAATTTACTGGAAAAAAAAATTTTTTTTTAGATGGAATCTCACTGTCCCCCAGGCTGGAGTGCAGTGGCACCATCTCAGCTCACTGTAACCTCTGCCTCCCAGGTTCAAGCGAGTCTCCTGCCTCACCCTCCCCAGTAGCTGGGACTACAGGTGTGTGCCACCACACCCAGCTGATTTTTGTATTTTGAGTAGAAACGAGGTTTCACCATGTTGGCCAGGCTGGTCTTGAACTCCTGACCTAAAGTGATCCACCCACCTCAGCTACCCAAAGTGCTGGGATTAGAGGTGTCAGCCACCACAACCGGCCAAGTTATTGGAAATTTTAAGATAAATAACATTGTGTTCCTAATGCAATGAAATAAGCAATTCTGATTATTTCTTGAGTCTTAAACAGAACAGCAAATGCTTTGTTTAACTGGCTTTGACCCTTGATCCTGCCATTTCCTGGCTGTGTGACCTGGTGCATGTCATTTATCTCCCTGCACCTCAGTTTCCTGGTTTCTAAAATAGTAAAGAGGATAAGCATGCTCACAGCGTTCCTGGGAGGAAGGAATGAATCAAGTCTGGCACCCAGGAAGTGCTCAGGAGATGTTTGCTAGAACCATCATCCCCATCCCCCTACCCTGGGCCCGGTGTCCAGGGAAGATGCATCTCATACCTTCATTAACCGGATTTTGACCTGCATCTTCCCAGGGTCCAACTTCTGCCTTCTATGCAGTTCTCGTGGATTCTTTGGCTGGTGGCTTGTCACCACCATAGTGGGCATGGATTGCAACACTAGGGGTAGACAGAAAAGGACAGGGAGAGAGTGAGGGTCCTGGCAGGCCTGAGGCCAGGTTCCTGGAGCGCACCAGTAATGAGAGGAGGCCCAGGCCCCGGTCCCACCTCTGGCTGCCTTATAATGTGACACTAGACTGAAGGTGAAACTCACAGCCTTCACTAAGCTCCCAGGACCCATTCTGGGCCTCGATATAAGGGAGGGACAAGCCCAGGTGAAAGCAGTGACTATAGGCATGGACAGAGGGGAGGTGGGGCAGCCAGGAACCCCGCTCTCAACTGTCCAGCCAGAATGAGAGGCAGGAGCTCCCATTCCGTGTGTCTTTTCAGTAGCTGCTGCAGCACAGGACAGCAAGAAGACCAGAGTCTGGCAGGCCTGAGTCCAAACCCCTGCTCTGCCACCAACCTGGTTGACAGAAGGCCAGATGGGTAGGGGTTAGGAACAAGAAGTAATAACCCAGACCATCCAGGTTTAAATCCAGGCTCTTGGCCAGGCGCAGTGGCTGACACCTGTAATCCCAGCACTTTGGAAGGTGGAGAAGGGCGGATCACCTGCAGTCAGGAGTTCAAGACCAGCCTGGCCAACATGGTGAAACCCCGTCTCTACTAAAAATACAAAAATTAGCCGGGCATGGTGGTGGGTGCCTGTAATCCCAGCTACTTGGGAGGCTGAGGCAGGGAGAATCACTTGAACCCAGGAGGCAGAGGTTGCAGTGAGCTGAGATCACACCACTGCACTCCAACCTCGGCAACAGAGCAAGACAAAAAATTTATATGTATATATACACATATAATGAATTTAAAAATTGAAAAAGTAAATCCAGGCTCTGCCTTCTGTTAGCTGTGTGACCTCAAGCAGGTCAAATGACCTCTGTGTCCCTCCATTTGTCCACCTATAAAATAGGAATAATCATCATGCCTACCTCATAGGGTTTTCGTGAAGATGAAGTAAGAAGTTACTATACCTTAAAGGTGTTTGGGATAGTGCCTGAGGCATATTCAGTGCTGAATACACATTACCAGCTGTTACTCTTCCTTCTAGTGACCTGAGAACTGGGACCACAATACCAGACGAAGGCACAGCAACTAGGCAACACTCCAACTGGCTGTCTCTGAAACACTCTTAGAGCTGCGGTTCTGCCAGACAGGACGTATAGGCATCTGGGGGACATATTCTTAGAATCCCTGTTCCCTCTCAGCCTGTCTGGCAATGACATGAGACTAACCACCCTGGTGGGTCCAGCTCTATTCAGTCCCCACCAAAATCCCTGCTTCAGGTACAACCCAGTTTATCTCAGAAATATATTAATCTCCTTAATAGATCAATGTCCTTCATCCTGAGAAATGCTGGCATTAACTACGGAGATGATGAAGCCAATTAATTTTGTGTTTAATTTATAAATTACCTGTATATATCCAGTTTTTAATTATATTGTGTAAGAGATAGAATGATTAATAGATTAATCTTGTGATTCTAATTTTAAAGTGTAAGTGGGATTTTGATTTAGATTTAAGTTGAAAGGTTTAAGACACTCCTATTAAATAAGTATAAATTAATTTTATTACTTAAGAGAACATAAGATTACCTATATTAATTTTTATTTTTCGAGACAGAGTCTTGCTCTGTTACCAGGCTGGAGTGCAGTGCCATGATCTTGACTCACTGCAACCTACGTCTCCCGGGTTCAAGCGATTCTCCTGCCTCAGCCTCCCCAGTAGCTGGGATTACAGGCATGCACCACCACACCTGGCTAATTTTTGTATTCTTAGTAGAGACAGGGCTTCACCATGTTGACCAGGCTGGTCTCAAACTCGTTACCTCGTGATCCATCCACCTCAGCCTCCCAAAGTGCTGGATTACAGGCATGAGCCACTGCTCTCACCAATTTTTTTCTTTTTTGAGACAGAGTCTGGCTCTGTCGCCCAGGCAGAAGTTCAATAATGGTGAGATCTCGGCTCACTGCAACCTCTACCTCCCAGCTTAAAGCGATACTACTGCCTCAGACTCCCAAATAGCTGAGATAACAGGTGCCTGCCACCACACCCAGCTATTTTTTTATTATTACTCTTTTTAATAGAGACAGGGTTTTACCATGCTGGCCAGGCTGGTCTCCCGACCTCAGGTGATCCCATCCATCTCAGCCTCCCAAAGTGCTGGGATTACAGGTGTGAGCCACCACGCCCAACAAGATTACCCATATTTAGAATTTTATGTATTAGATATATAAGAATTATGTATATAGCCAATGGTTTTGTTAATCAGACAAGTGAACTATTTGAAAATGAAAATGGATAGGTTAAATTTCAAGATGTGGCTTAAAAGGTTTAAGAGAATTTAATTAACCAGGTTCCAAAACTCCCTTATAAATGTTTATAAAAACTGAAAGATTCTTGACTTGAACTTAAATGCTTAAGGAAGATTTGTAGTTTTAATAATTAAACTTTTTATTTCAAAATAGCTCAGATTCACAAGCAGTTTTAAGAAGTGATACAGAGAAGCTGGCTGCGGTGGCTCATGCCTGTAACCCCAGAACTTTGGGAGGCCAAGGCAGGTGAATCATCTGAGGTTAGGAGTTCAAGACCAGCCTGGTCAACATGGTGAAACCCTGTCTCTACTAAAAATACAAAAATTAGCTAGGCATGGTGGCACAGGTCTGTAATCCCAGTTACTTGTGAGGCTGAGGCAGGAACCCAGGAGTTGGAGGTTGCAGTGAGCCAAGATCACACCACTGCACTCCAGCCTGGGTGACAGAGAAAGACTCTGCCTCAAAAAAACAACAAAGAAAGGAAAGGAAAGGAGGAAGGAAGGGGAAAAAAAGAAAAGAAAAGAGAAAGAAAGGAAGGAAGGAAGGAGGGAAAGAAAGAAGGGAGGGAGAAAGGGAGGAGAGAGAGAGAGAAAGAGAAAGAAAAAGAAAAGAAAGGAAGAAAGGAAGGGAGGGAGGGAGGGAGGAAGGGAGGAAGGAAGGAGAGAGAGAAAGAAAAAGAAAGGAAAGAAAAGAAAAAGAAAAAGAAAAAAGGAAGGAAGGAAGGAAGGAAGGAAGGAAGGAAGGAAGGAAGGAAGGAAAAGAAGGGCCGGGCATGGTAGCTCACGCCTGTAATCCCAGCACTTTGGGAGGCCGAGGCAGATGGATCACAAGGTCAGGAGATCGAGACCAGCCTGGCCAACATGATGAAACACCAACTCTACTAAAAACACAAAAATTAGCCAGGCGTGGTGGTGGGTGCCTGTAATCCCAGCTACTTGGGAGGCTGAGGCAGAAGAATTGCTTGAACCCAGGAGGCGGAGGTTGCAATGAGCTGAGATCACACCACTGCACTCCAGCCTGGGTGACAGAGTCTCAAAAAAAAAGAAAGAAAAAGAAAGAAAAGAAAGGAAGGAAGGGAGAGAGGGAGGGAGGGAGGCAGGGAGGAAAGAAAGAAAAAGAAAGAAAGAAAACAAAACAAAGGGAGTCTATGTGCCCTTTACCCAGTTTCTCCCAATGGCAACATCCTGCAAAAGTACAGAACAATATCACAACAAGGATATTGACATTAAGATAGGCAAGATACAGGACTTTTCCATAACCACAAGGATCCTGCCTGTTGCCTTTTACAACCACACCCACTTCCTTCCCCTTACCACCCTCCTCACAACTGTCCCTAACCCCTGCAATCACTAATCTGTTCAGCATTTCTGTAATTTTTGTGATTCCCACAATGTTATATACATGGAATCATGCAGTATGTAACTGTTGAGATTGGCTTTTTTTTTTTTTACTTGGCATAATTCTCTGGAGATTCATCCAAATTGTTGAATATATCAATAGTTCTTTCCGGTTTATTGCTGAATAGTTTTCCATGGTATGGATGCAACCTAGCTTGTTTAAACACTCACCCATGAGGGACTTCAGGTTGTTTCAAGTTTTGAGGTATTATGAACGAGGTTGCTGTGAACATTCGCACACTAGCTTTTGTGTAAATACAAGTTTTCATTTCTCTGGAATAAACACCTAAGAGTAAAACTGCTGGCTCAGATTGCTAGGCGGTGCATGTTTAATGTCTTTAGAAACTGCCATACTGGTTTCCAGAGTGGCTGTATCGTTTCACCTTCGCACAAGCAATTGTGCACAATCTGATTTCTCCAAGTCTATAGCTTGTCTTTTCATCCTCTTAAAAAGGCCTTTTACAAGGCTGGGTGCAGTGGCTTACACCTATAGACCCAGCACTTTGGGAAGCTGAGGCAGGCGGATTATTTCAGGTCATAAGTTTGAGACCAGCCTGGCCAACATAGTGAAACCCTGTCTCTGTTAAAAATACAAAAATTAGCCAGGTGTGGTGGCACACACCTGTTGTCTCAGCTACTCAGGAGGCTGAGGCAGGAGAATCACTTAAACCCAGGAGGAAGAGTCTGCAGAAAACCGAGATCACGCCACTGCACTCCAGCCTGGGCAACAGAGCGAGACTCTGTCTCAAAAAAAAAAAAAAAAAAAAAAGAAAAGAAAAGAAAAAGAAAAAGAAAAGAGAAAAGTCTTTCACAGAACAAAAGTTTTAATTTTGATGCAGTCCAGTTCATCCATTTTTCTTTTATGGGTCAAGCTTTTGGTGTGATACCTAAGAACTCTTCACTTGGCCCTATGCCCCAAAGACTTTTCTCTCCTGTTTTCTTCTAAAAGTTTTTCACATTTTACATTTAATTTCTATTTTATCTTTGAGATAATTTTTATATTTGCTGTTAAACTTGAATCAAGTTTCATTTTTATTTTTTGCCTATAGATGTCCAATTGCTGCAGCGCCACCCGTGGAAAAGGCTTTCTTTCTCCACCGAAATTTTTTTCCCCTTTCTGAAAAACCCATTGAGAATATTTGTATGGATTTATTCCCTTTCTGTCACTGGGAAGTGCTGGCAGTGTCCAGCAGGGAGCTGATCTTTCATTCCCTGCTTTGTGATGCTGATTCCCCAATTAGGATAGGGCTGGCAGGGATGAGTGGGGAGGTCGTCTTCTCCCCACCTGGCAGAAGAAGGCAGTGCTCTGACTGTCTCTCTAGGGTAGTGTCAACAGGGTCCAGCAGTGACAAGATTTCAGGAAGTATCATGAGGTGGGACTCATCACCTCTGGGCTTCATTGCTCCCCTCCCCCAGCCTACCTATGTCAGTAGAGCCTGGTGGGAACCTGAGCCTCTATCCCCACCCAGCATCAGTGAGGTAAAACAACGTGGTGAGATGCAGGGCAACCTGGCACTTCTACTCTCCCATATCCTTTTTGGATGTGAGTGTTGCCCACAGGGGAGCTGATCTAACATTACTGACTTGGAGGCAATGAGGTGATGTGATTGATTTTATACATAGGTATATACATAAGTATGCTATATTGTCTATGAAGTTCATTTCAGGATACCAAAGAAATATTAAATATTTGTTATTAATTCTCACAACAATTCTATGCGGTATTAGTGTCCCCATTTCATAAATGAGAAAACCAAGGCTTAGAGAGATGAATGATTTTTCCAAGTGAGTAAATGGCAGAGCCAAAATCTGACCCCATGTCTGCCTGAGCCTGACGGCCTCAGAACTCCCCTGGAAAGCATGATAATGATGCAGCAGAGATTATTCTATGAGTTCACCAAACCCTGTTTTCTTTTTCTCCTGGAAACACAGATGCACTACATTTTCCACCTTCCCTTGTGGTTAGCAGAGGTCGTATGGCTAAATTATGGCCCCTGAAACATGAGTAGGAGTAACATTTGCCACTTCAAATCTGGACCTTCCCCAAAAAATGCCCACATAATTTTCCATGTTCTTGTTATCTCTCTTCCCTCTCTGCCAGCGGGATGCAAAAGTATCCAGCAAGACCTTACAAAATATCAGAGCCACAAGGTCAAAGGAACCTGGATCCCTGAATGACCGTATGGAACAGAATGTCACCTTCCTCAGATCCACAAATGCACTGTGACATAAATGAGATATAAACTTCTGTATTAACACTTGCAATTTGGGCATTGTTTATTACATCAGTTAGCCTACCCTAATATGGATGGTGTCCCCAAAAGCCAAGAGCAGCCACTCTATCCTGTCTCCAAGCCCCACACCAGCTCCCAAGCGCCTCTGCCCACCTGGTTGGACCCTAGTCAGAGTCTTCATTTTGCTTGTTTTAAGGCTGTTGGCTTGTCGGACCGGAGGCAGAGTAGATGGCTTGGTTTTCTGTTTGGACTGCTGCCATAGTACATAATCCTACAAAATATATAATCGGTGACATAGCACCGTGAGTTCATATCCCAGCTCATACCCTTTTCAGGTATCTGTTACCTCAAACAAGTGACTTTACCTCTCTGGGCCTCAATTTTCTCATCTGTAAAGTGGATCTAATAATAAAACCTACTTCTGTGGGCTGGAACAAGAATTCTGATAGATGATGATATTTATGAAACATGTGGTGAGTGCTCCATAAATGTTAGCTATCACTTTTTTTTTTTTTTTTATCAGCCAGCCAGAATTTACTAAGCACATCCAGGCTGTGAGGTGCTAAGAACTGTAAGAAACAGAAGGCATGGAAAAGACCCAACATCCACCCTCAGGAAACCAGAGTAGCAATCAGATAAATAAGAGAACAATGTAATATACCCTTACATTGTGATAAGACAGTCAGAGGAGAAAAATTAGGTTCTGAGGCGTGCTCTGGGTCCCACAGCAAAGTGTCACCCGGCTGGGACTGGAATTCAGGTCTCCAGCCTATATCCGCGGAGCAGTCACGACAGTCACAGTGGAGGGCAGGTGGACTGCAGGGCCAGTGAGCCTCCCACCCCAGCCCTAGACCCCCAAGACTCACCTTAACCTGGAACTCGTGGACTGTGGAGTAAGTCCCAGAGTGCTTGGGTCTGGAAAGAGTTGGGGAGGGTAAGAACTTCCATTATTCCCAGTCCAAGGGGCTGCAAGCAGCAAACTTGAAACAGGATTGGAGTCTCGAACCCCAAACTCCACAATAGTTCACCCAGCACAGTAACGCCCGGGGAGTGGGGCGGGGTCAAGGACATGAGGGCGGGAAGAGGGCGGGGGTCAGAAGACCTCATGGCGAGGGCGGGATCAGGTCGAACTCAAGGCAAGGGCGGGGCAGCGGCGGGGTGGGAAATACGCATGCGCACTCCGCCCCGCCGCCAATGCTCTTTTTTACCTACTTTTGTAAGACATGCGCCATTGGGGAAAATGGAAAAGAAGTTGCGAGTCTGTGAGACCCTGATCTTCTAGAACGCCTACGCGGCTTTTCCAACTTCCTTGTCTCAGTGTAGATCGCGCGGTAACCCAGGCCACTTAAAACTTGCCGAGACCCGATGCTTTTGCTAGTGTCTCGGTCTCCAAGGAAACGCGACGCCAGCTACCGAGCGCCTAGAGGGACTAACCTCTCAAGGCAAAATCTAGCTCGGCCCGCTTTTCAATTTGGTATAGAATTCCCTTCAGTTTGTTCGGCCTATAATCCTAAAATATTATATTTCTCCATTCTCATCAAACCTTCATCACTTCCTTCGCCATCCTCACTCTTGGCTAACGACTTTGCTTCCAATTTTACCAAGAAAATTGTGGGAATCAGTAAACCCACAAGTTGACAGCACCATTTACTCGCCTACTTGCCTCCCTCCTGTACCTACGTGTAAACTGCCTACTAAGACCAATTCCTACATGTATGCACTAAATCCTATGCTCTCATTTTCTCAAAGATATTGGCCGAGCAGTTTTCCCCGTTTTCTCCTACGTCATCCTCTTTTCCCTCTCCTTTGTATCATCCGTATACCAACATTTGTTTAAGTTTCTTCTATTTAGAAAGATTGACCACAGCCCGGCACGGAGGCTCATGCCTATAATCGCAGCACTTTGGGAGGCTAGAAGGGGAAGATCACTTGAGCCAGGAAGGTCGAGGCTGCAGCGAGGCATGATCCAGCCATTGCATTCCAGCCTGGGTGACAGAGCAAGACCCTGTCTCTAAATAAATAAACAAACAAACCACTTCCCCTCCAGCCAGCTCCCATTTCTGCTTCATTTTAAAGCAAAACTCCTAGAGAGGTTTCCCTACTGTTTCCCAATTTTTGCCCTCCACTAAATCGAGCTTTCACTCTCCACTGAAACTGCCCTTGTCAACATCATTGGTGACCTCCACTTTGCTAAACCCCATGGTGTCTTCTAGGTCCTCCCCTTATTTGGCCTGTCTGCAGCATGTGACCCAACAGATCACTCCCTCCCCTGAAACACTTTCTTAACTTAGTATCCAGGAAACCACTCTTGAGTTGCTTCCTGCCTCCTTTCAGTCTCCTTTGCTGGTTCCTCCTCTTCTTCCTTTATCATTGTGGTGTCCCAGGGCTCAGTCCCAGCCTTCTCCCTTCCAGTCTCATGGTTTTGAATAACAACTGTACCCAGATGCCTCTCAGACTCACGTCTCCAGCTTGCCCCTGAATTCCAGCTATATACATCTAACTGCCTACTTGGGCCACTTATAAGCTACTCTAATGTGCAGTATTTTTCCAGAAACCTTTTTCCTGAACTCAAAATGGGGAAATTCTCTTCTTGAAATCATCCTTAATTCATCTCTCATCCCACATCCATCAGCAGATCCTGTTGCAATAACTTCAACATATATCTGGAATAGGAACACACACACACACACACACACACACACACACACACACTCTCATACACACACAACCCTCTTTCCTTTTGTGCCGCAGCTAAAGTAGTAACTCCCACCCTTGACCTACACCAATTCTTTCTACACACCAAATTTGCTAGATAGAGCATAGATTTAAAAGTGAATTCCAGTTTGAAAGATAATTGGGAGGGAGCAAATAATTGGAAATCACTGAAACTTCAATGGGGGAAATTACTGTAGAATACCACACCAGAGCTCCCAACATTTTCTGCCTCTTAAAAATCACAGGGGAATGTTTTAAAATGCACTGTAGTAAATAGAAGCAGCTGCTAGGATAAAAGCAATTAGACTGGGTGCTCTGGCTATCCAGGTCCCTCCTGGCTGCACCTAGAGCTGAGGGAATCACTATGTTGGGTACCCTCATTCGCAGAGCACACTGTATGACAATACTCTTTCTGGGAAACTGTACCAGGAAACCATTAAAGTAAAAGATAGCGGGGCACAGTGGCTCACACCTGTAATCCCACCACTTTGGGAGGCCAAGGCAGGCAGATCATGAGGTAAAGAGATCGAGACCATCCTGGCCAACCTGGTGAAACCCCATCTTTACCAAAAATACAAAAATTAGCTGGGCATGCTGGTGCATGCCTTTAGTCCCAACTACTCAGGAGGCTGAGGCAGGAGAGTCACTTGAGCCTGGGAGGCAAAGGTTTCAGTGAGCCAAGATCGTGCCATTGCACTCTAGCCTGGCAACAGAGCAAGACTCCGTCTCAAGAAAAATAAAGTACAAGTTAAAGGTCAGGCGTGATGGCTCACGCCTGTAATCCCAGCACTTTGGGAGGCTGAGGCAGGTGGATCATTTGAGATCAGGTGTTCAAGACCAGCCTGGCCAACATGGTGAAACCCTATCTCTACTAAAAATACAAAAAGTTGGCAGGGCGTGGTGGCAGATGCCTATAATTCCAGCTACTCCAGAGGCTGAGGCAGGAGAATCACTTGAACCGGGGAAGCAGAGGTTCCAGTGAGCCAAGATTGTGCCATTGCACACCAGCCAGGGCAACAATAGGGAAACTCCGTAAAAAAAAAAAAAAAAAAAAAAAAAAAGCTAAGTAAAAGATAGCAATACATGACAGACCCAGGTAGTGACTTACTCAACAGCCTTTCCTCCCTGTCATCCCAGCTACTGGATGCTGATCTTGTCCATGTATGCACTTGCCTTAAGGGAGGCAGGCCCCAAACCCAGCCCTAGTCCTAGTCCTAGCTCCAGTAGTCATGACTGGTCTGAGGCTGGACTTTGGTAGGCCGATTTCCATTCCCAGTCAGCGGTCTAGTCATAGACACGTGATGAAAGTCTGGCCAGGGAGACGAATGAGAAATCTACTCAGAGGCTTTTGGGAAAGGTTTTCATCACACTTTTAAAAAAAGACATTACAGAAAAACATTCCTTCATCTGCTCGTAGACATTGTCATATCTGTGTGGGATTCCTGGAATCGAGGAACTGTGAAGGGAGCTGGCCAAAGAGGATATATTGTGAATGGTAGAGAGGAAAATGGAAGAGAAAAAACCCTCTTCCTTGATAGCACTGTTGAGCCATTAAATTATCTAACCCTAGCCTGGCACAATGGTATATGCCTATAATACCAGCTACTTGGGAGCCTGAGATAGGAGGATTGCTTGAGGCCAGGGGTTTGAGATTAGTCTTGGCATCATAGCGACTCTGCATCTGAGAAAAAAAAATTTTTTTTGTTTTAATTAGCCAGATACAGTGATGTATACCTGTAGCCCCAGCTACTTGGGAGGCTATAGTGGGAGGACTGCTTGAGTCCATGTGTTTGAGGCTACAATGAGCTATGATTGTGCCATCGCACACCAGCCTGAGCAACAGGGTGAGGTTCTATCTCTAAAAAAATTAATTGATTAAATTAACCTGTCACCTATCTAGAAATTACCTGAGATTAAATAAGAAATCATATTACTGCATGAGCAAATTTGAGTCGAGTTTTCTGGCACTTGCAGACCGAAAGCATTTTACTGAAATCTACACATGGAGGAACAACAAGATAGAAGGAACCCAGGTCGCTGACAACCTTGCAGGACAGAGTTACCTGCCTGTCCTTACTGCCTACCAAATTCCGAGCTGCTTAATCAAAGAGAAATAAACCTCCAACTTGTCTGAGACCCTGCATTTGAGAGTCCCTTTGGTAGAGTAGCTTAGCCTGTACCTTGATTAATACAAAGAAGAGCTTGACCCCTGTCACACAGCCTTCCTCATCAGACATGTGGACCCAGCATGGACATCCACTGAGAGCTGCCCGCGCCCCACATCTCAGGTGCTCAGTCAGTAATATTACTGCCTCCCATTTCAAATTTTAAAATAAATACACAAAAACATTTGCCAGTTTAATCAAAGCCAAAACACACTTGAGGGACCACTAAAAATCACTTGTAACAAAGCTGTTGGAACTGGGATTGAATAAGATGGGGTCCACTTGCACTTACACCTGTCCAGGTAGCATTTCTGTGTTCATCAACACCTAATGGAACCTCCTGCCCCCAGGATAGGTGGGCAAGACGAGCTGGCCTTTCCTGCCTGCGCATGTGAGGTGTTGAATGTGACCGAGGGCCTCTCAGGTCTGCTTGGCTCCAGGCTCAGAAATAGCAACCTGGGCTCTGATTGCATCAACATCTTGCTGAGAGGTGGACTCGGCTGAGCAGGAAGTCTCGGGCTTCCATCCATGTCATTTGATGTGCTGGCTTTGTGGCAAATGTGCACACCATCCTAAACCCACAATCCCTATTGTTGTCACTGGGTAAGATGCCATGGTTCTTGTGAAGACACCTGCCACACTCAACATAACAAGATTCTGGCCAGGTGTGGGGGCTCACACCTGTAATCCCAGCACTTTAGGAGGCCAAGGCAGACGGATCATGAGGTCAGGAGTTCAAGACCAGCCTGGCCAACATGGTGAAACCCCATCTCTACTAAAAATACAAAAGTTAGCCAGGCATGGTGGTGTGTGCCTGTAGTCCCAGTTACTCAGGATGCTGAGTTGGAAGAATCACACCAGAAATTAACAGAAAGCCATGGAACAGATTTTCCCCTAGACCCTTCAGGGAGAACGCGGCCCTGCTGACACCTAGATTTCAGACTTTCAGCCTCAGGAACTGTGAGATAATAAGTTCCTGTTATTTTAAACCACTCAGTTTATAGCAGCGGTTCCCAATCTTTTTGGCGCCAGGAACTGGTTTCACAGAAGACAATTTTTCCATGGACAGGGCTGAGGGTGGTTTCGAGATGAAACTGTTCCACCTTAGATCATCAGGTATTAAATTATCATTGGGTGCATGCAACCTAGATCCCTCGCATGTACAGTTCGCAATAGGGTTCCACTCCTATGAGAGTCTAATGTCACTGCTGATCTGACAGGAAGTGGAGCTCGGGTCGGTAGTAATGCTCACTTGCCTGCCGCTCACCTCCTGCTGTGTGGCCCGGTTCCTAATGGGCAGACCCAGGTGTTGGGAACCCCTGGTTTATAGTATGTTGTTGTAGCAGACCTAGGAAACTAATACAGTCTGCATGATGCCATTGACTCCCACAACAGAGCTCTGACCCTGTTCATGGACCATCTTTAGCTGTGTTACCTCCTCGACAATCTGGATGAAGAAATACCCCTCAATGGTGTCTGCAAGACACTGGGGGTCCTAAACAGTGAATATGTCCTACAGGATGTCCTCCTGGATGCACCTAGAGGTCAGCGGATATAAAACAAACTTGGTCAAGTGGTCCTGAAGAGCCAGAATAAGTGTGCACAGCCTGGCAGGATTTGCTTTATGCTGATGAACTAGACTTGGCATCTGCAGCTGAGCACCTTGAAAACCAATCAGCTTAGACACCAAGCCACAGTTAACAAGGTTCTCTTTTGCCAGCAGGGTCTGCTGAGTCAGGTAGAAGCCACTGCAATCACAGGAGATGTTCTTGTTACTGTGATCCAGCTCCCTCCCCATGCACATGCACCTGCCAAGTCCGGTGCCAAGAAGGGTCCCAGAAAAAAATGTCAAAGAATTTACCCACATGGATGTAATACTGGACTTCTGATGATGTCTCCTTCACGGACTCCACCAGCTTCTCATTCCCAGTGGGTTGGGACAATGCTGATCCAGGCCAGACGCTGACAGTCAAGTGCTT